CTAGAAAACTTGCTACCTAGTAGACTAGGGGAGGTTCGTGTGGATTTAGAGTCAGTAAATAATACCCATGCCATAAGTAGCAGAAACTAAATTAATAAATGTACAATAAATCCGTCACTCTGATGCCTTAAAACTTTAGAATTATATGTCGCTTAGTGCAAAAACAATACTGGAAAGCTGGCTGAAAACCTGATGATTATATAATGTGGTTTAGAAAGTGGTCTCCAATACTATGAACGTTGCGACAGACTAAGTTTAGAACCACTCTGGAAAAGACGTCTTAAGCTAAACCTGATTTTTTACTACAAGTTAACTAATCTGCTCGTGCACTCCTCCGAGCCAATAATTAAACCTACCGCTGTTATCAGTTACAATCTTAGAAATCATCACAACCTAGTTGCTATAGAGCATTATCAGACTTACATGCGGTATAATTTCTTCTTAAATAAGTTTTCAGTCATTTGGAATAGACTACCAGCTGATGTGCGCGATGCAAACACACTCGCAGTGTTCATCTCCTCAGTCACCAGACTGCTCAAAGATGACAGTGCACTTCTGCGTCTGAATCCTACACCCACTTTTTCGTCCAACATAGATATTTTAAGTTCATTAAACGTGTAGTTACAACAAACTACAATTATAAATTTTTATATTATTGGAAGTACATGATAGACATTTTTACACAGGACAATAATATTAGTTCACACAATATAAAAGTTAGCATAACGGGAATAGTTAGTTAGTGCACCAAAATAACTATAATTACTAAACAGAATATAAATGTGTATATAAATATTAATCACTCCCTAAGTACTCCACTTGCTTTCTTTTGCGTTGTTGTTGTTTGTCTTCTTTTGTCTCTCACCATTTCAGCTTCCATTTAACTTTTTGAATGAGAATGAAGAATGTAGATATTTGCCCATTTACAATGACAAATGATCTGCAAACATTATTGGTCCCATATCTTACAATTCCCTCGTGAATTGCGCATTGCCTTTACCAACGACGCAACCTGGATTACAGTTGTGAAATATACCTTTATACCAATAAAAAAGTATTGATTTATAATACTTCACGATTGTAACTTACAACATAACTGATCTTGTCTGCAAAATAGCTTGCATTTCTTGAAAACACCCGTTTATAAGAAAATATAAACTGTCATTATTATTAGTCTACATTGAGTACTATTCACTTGTGATGTTACGAAGAAAATGCTGACAAAAGTATACAAGTGTATTACTTATTTTAAATTATTATCAAATTTGGATATAAATCAAGAATAAGACTCGATGCCGTACACACCAAAGTTATATGGAGGAATTACTTCCAGCTTTATTTTTTTCCCAAGTATTTATAATCCATCCAAAACATACTTGGGTTTTTTTGGTTAATGCGAAGACAATATTTCTATATTTCTTGATGTGCTCCATTGAATGACTAGTTATCATATTGTTCCCATAGACAAAATGGCTGCAACCTTATAATTTTACCATGAACCAAATTTATGTAATTTAAATAATACTTATCCATGCCTGTACAATTGGTGTGTCCTACACAGGTAGGAAAAAATGTATTTTATTAAATTACTATTATTAAATATGCTTACTAATCGTATATGTAATTTATCATATTGATGATGCCTGTAAACTGGCGTCCCTCATGTACAAAATGAGAATATACTATTATTTATTTATTTAAATAAAATCCTAACGATAACTCATCTGTCTGGTGATTACATGAAGATATGGGAGAATGTACTGAAAGCATTCGACGATTTTCAAACAAGTATGATGAACGTGCAGTAAACAGCCATGCCGTCACCGATTACTCAACGGTATTTTCAAATGGGAGTATTAATTCGTTACTCAAATTTGAGGTTTATCGCACCTTCATAAAGATTTTTAAGATGTCCGTCGGACTTGTGGTCTACAGATTATTATGGAAAACAAAAATCCCAAAAATGACTGAGACTTGTAAACTACAGTTATTTAGGCGCACACAGCTGTGGGCACATGTGGTGTTTACGCCTTAAATGTACAGGAAAACATCCCAACGACTATCCTAACCAGACCGCACCACTTATTTCTAAAACGTATCAGTTATTAGAACACTATAACGCTTAGACTCACTACTATATATCATGACACTAAATAAACACTAAGACTTCGCAAAAATATATGAAAAAACAACTACATTACAGGTAATGTTTACTATACAGTGACATGCAATTGAGATAAACATTTATATATGCATAAAACATTAATGTTCTTTTCATGTTCACATTCTTTCCCCTTCTGGTATTCTGCTGCTGAGCCTACTCTTCTATTTACCTTCTAGTCGAGGTCGAACAACCCCACAATTGAACTGAAATGAAGCTGGACTCCAGACCATTTTACTCATAACCACTCAAATTCCATGAACGATCCCATGCTACCATTTGAAGACGCTGGCCAACATTCTGTACAAGGAGTATTCATGATCTGAAATAAAGAATCAACTGGTTTTCAAACAGTTTTCAATGTATTACTCAACTTACGTCTACAGTCTGTCATGATGACACAAATGGCGCCAGTGGAGTGTTCTGGAATCGACCTCGGCCCCATTTCATGCCGTAAAACAGTCCAGCATGACCTTATCTAGTTTACGTGTCCACGATCAAATTTCTTTCCTATTATAAGATTACGATTAGGCTGCTGAAAAAAAATGGAATAAATATATCACTGATGTCAACATAATACATCAATGAACATTAAGCCAAGGATTCTGTTCACAACATAGTTGTATAGGAGAATTGACTTCAAGCTTTATTTTTCCCAGATATTTGTACTACACTTGTAGGATGTCTGGGTTTTTTGTCAATGCGAAGACAATATTTCTATTTCTCTTTATGTGTTCCACAAACGGACTACTCTGCAGACTGGGCTGAAATTATCCCGCATGCTCAAGGTCATTGATGGAGTAAGACGCTCAAAGGTCATTTTCGTCTATGTTAGTCGGTTATGTTGGATTGCAGTTCCGTAGCCGTTCGTTTACACATTGGTTTTACGTTCTGTTGGCATTTATAGGTGATTCCCATGTACTGATAGCATTCTTTTGCAAAATAGTACTGTTCTTCACACGAAATAGCCACTTACGTAGTCTCATTGAATGACACTATGTCGAAAGCTGCAGCTTCTACAAGAAATAAACTATTTGTGTAGATGACATTACCCCCAACTACCCCATCTTCTTCATTGTAGAGATGTTTTGACGCATTCAGCATGAAACACTAATCATTACAACCAATATGATATGCAGACTGTTCCAACTGACTCTAATTTCAGAAAGAACAACCAAACTGTAAATTCAGCATACATCGAAATCTGTGTAATTTATATAAAAACTTATCCATGCCTGTACAATTGGTATGTTCCTGCTTAAACAGGAATAAATATGTATCATTATTATTATATTTATTCCTGTCCATGCGGGCACACCAGTGTATATTGAAAGGACGGGCAGAAATAAGTTGACAGACACATTTGATTTTAATTTGGGTAACTCCCTGCTACTTTTAGGACTGCTTGAAAACTGAATAAACTTTGGATTTTTAGATAGTTTATTTCTTCAAATCGTTTAGTTCTGAGAGATATTATTCAATGATTTTTGGAAACTAGATACGATTCTTTTAATACTTGAACTTCACACTGAACGTTCGCATCCAGTCGCCTGTCGAAAATAAAATCAGATGCATTGATTGACCTGCACTTGAATTTTCGGAAAAAGCAGAGTCTTTCGCTAACTGACAATAACCGATCTTCGAGAAACTGACTGTGCTCTTGTCTTTTGTCCAGTTTAGCCCCGAAATCAGACACAAGATATTCTAGGCAGTTCATATCAGCTTAAGGATTACCATCTCAATATTTATACTTCCAGATTATTTGAGATATTTACGTTAGCTGAAGGACTCATTGATGTGATTGAGTTTCAATGGATAAATCAGTCTTTTCTGAATGCTCAGAGGTCGTAGCGGTGTGAGAATCAGATGGTATCACCGCTATTTGTATTAACTTTACCAACAGATATTTAATCGACGGAAGAGCATAATCTCGTAATTTCAAACATGTTTTTTGCAACAGGATTAGGTGAAAACAGTGTTCATTCCAAAAGCTTAGCTGTGTATTATTCCTCCTTGCCAATGAACGAAGCCGTCTGGTCAAATTGGCCCAATGAAGGATGTGAATGTAATTCTGTGTCGCAGAAATTTTTGGGATGAAACCAAACAGCGAAAGCCTGCTCGAAAACACGCTGCCAGCAAAAACAAAATTACCTATCGTTTAGAGACTTCACTGAACATAATAAACTTTTTTGGTCCAAGAAACAAGAGTAAGTAGAGTGATAACCCTAGACGAGTTGTAATGACTGTATTTAGGCTTATATTTGAATTTGTTTCACCAGAAACGAAGTTCTATTTAATGTGGCTATTCATCTGTGACTTGAATTCTAAACACCCGTCATCGAAACCAGATGATACTCAGTGGGACTTTAATCATATTTTTGGTCTCCAGTAGCACTGTGAATATTATTTCTACTTTTATTTAAATAGACACCTCCCAATATCTTCCTCCAAACTTCATAATCAACTAATTATTAGGTATATACATGTTTTACTTTTTGTTCTTTCTTGTAGCAGCTGCTTCTGTTGTGAATGCTTTGTTTCCTATTTCCTTACCTACTTATAACACTCCACTTTACTGTGAAACGTTCTAGAAGTAAAGGGATATCATTAGACATATAAGAATTGTACTCTCGAATTATTTGGCACTGAAGAGCTATTTGCCATAAATCAGTCCAGAGCGTAGATTATGAATTTCTGGGAAGTCCCTCCACAATATAATGGTGGGAAAGAAACGGCAAATTTTCCTATTGGCTCTTGTTCTATGTTTAAGACTACTGACCTTGTATAGTAAGTTTTGCAGTCCTTTCAATCTGATGCGTTACCGTCTTGAGAGCAATACATGTCAGGTGGGTGATGTACGCTAGTTTTGTTCGTTTTATTATAATAGTGGCCAAGTGAGATTTTAACGTCTTACTGCTAAGATCTGAAAGAGTGATTTCATGATTCATTCACTTGTTTAATTTCGAGGAAAATTATATCCTGGTCATATCTCTGATATCAGTGTTTGCACATACATCGATTACAAGATATTCTTTCTTGTTAAACTTAGGGATGTTGTTTTGCAATTTCGTTTGCTTAAGTAGAGTATTTTTCAATGCATACTCTAGAATAGGTATCGGGATTTATTTAAATTTACATTTGCAATAGCTGGTGAGAAACTCCTGTTCTATGATTTCTCATAATCTAAAATTCACTTCGTCCCTTATAATTAACAAGACTTTCGCAGCGGAGAGAATTTCCGGTGGAGCTAAATTATCATAGCTAAAATCACAATTGAACAATCAATCACAATTAAGTTGAAAAAAGCAACTATAAGGAAAAGATACCAACATCAGATGACCCTAAAACAGCTAGTCAGATTCTTTTAGGTGAAAAGGGGTACTTAATTCATAGAAAAGTGTACCTGTGATGTATATGTAATAAAGTTGAATCATACAGGGTATATATCTCTAATATGCCGCGAAATCGCACTAGTTTCTCACAGAAGTGGTTATAAACATCATGAACCGGTGACTAAACTATAGCAACCCACAGCGAAACTACCTAATGAACGGATGGACTACCTGGACGAATTTATGTACAGAAATTGGTTTGACCTGACTATGAGTACTTCTGTGAGAAATTAGGTTTTTCAGGTCACATACAAGAATGTTATAGTATGAAACCTCTTTTTGACATTGCATTACTTTTTATTTCAAATTACGCACTCCTACGCCTGACGCATCTGATTGCTTTCTGGTGATAGTTTCGTTTTGGGCTGCTATAGTTTAGAGTTACCACCAAACCAATGTATACTCAATTTTTGCAGCTGTAGCAGATACTGGTTGCACATATGCAATATATTAAGGGAGTTTCGATTTCGAGAAGAAAGTGTCTAGAAAGTCACCATTATCTACGAATTACAAACTTCCTCATATGAAGTGGTTGCATCTGAATGCATAACCATTAATACCCCGGCAATACTTTTTCAGAGTCATTATCCCTCTACATATGCTGTTTTAGTCCTTCCTATCAACCCATTTTCCACGGAGAAGTCAAAAACCAATTCTAGGAGACGCTTGCAACGAGGATTATCACTAGCGTTCTCTTGCAGTGCAGAACTATGATTGGTCGAATCGTCATTTGGCTTTGGTGTCTATTGTTTACTCTTGGCAAGTGTCTACCAGTCGCTACAAGGATAATCTGTGGAGAAACCATACATTGCCCTATAGACGCATTCATTCAGGTGACTGTAGGCCATAGTACTTTGAGATCCGTTGACATATCTGACACTGTCGTCTAACCTATCCCTAACTCTAGCCGTAAACCTGACTATTAATTCTAACTTTAACCCTAGACCCTAACCAAAATCTTAAAAACCATAATCCTATCTAAGAGTATAGATTTACAGAAAAAGTACTTGTGGAATGTGTGGTGTACTGTACGTACCCTCGCCAAATCCAAAAAGGTAGTCGTGATTTCATTTGGATTGAAATTTCCCTATATCTGATTGGTTCTTGAAGGTCAATTTTAGACATGTTTTAACTCTGGCTGATACTTTAACTTCGCCGACTTTTTTGTCAGAGTTCTCCACTAGGCTGTACATTCGAGTATATATAGTAAAACAGTTTGGGAGTTTCAAATCCTTCAAATTCATATACCTTTCAAAGGGAGTGAAGTCAAGACATCTGTGCATAGCTGAAGCACTAGCTATCTAGAGTTCAAGCCAATGCTATATATTCAAAAGAAGTATGTCCAGCCTCTGTCTTACCATGGCCATCATAAACGGTCAGTTTTCTTAATAATTATTGTCTTACTTATTTTTGTTATTATTACGCTTCTAATCTCTATTTGTGGTCTTGTTATTCATTATAATTTGACGCTCGATTGGAAATAGTTTTGGAACTTTCAAACTCCTTTACTATATGTACACAAATGTACAGCCTAATGGGTGACTTTGACGAAAAGAAAATTCTCTTCACTGCAAGTGTCTTTCTGTTTTATCCCAAAGATCTAATGTGCGTATTCTGTGATTTGTGGCGACAAGTTACATTGTTCTGTCAGTACCTCATTTAACTAATTGTGCAACTCTGTCTATTCACAGAACTGCATTTCAAGATTTTGATCCCGAATGTTGCAGCCGGGGCAATCATTGGCAAAAGAGGAGAGGCTGTCGAAACAATTAAACGCCAGACTGGGGCGAAACTCAAAATGTCCCGGGCGAACGACTTCTATCCAGGTACGAAGATGAGTATTCCATTAATGTTGTATAATAAGGAACCACTGAAAGAGTTTGTGTGATTATTGGCACTCTCGAATCATGCATGAAACTGCATGACTACGTGATGAATAAAATTAACGAGCGACCACAAAATATAACCATAATAACTCCTACAGGAATTAATTGTGTGGAGCGCCACAAACAAGTAAGCTGTCTTATATGTAAACCATTTGCCGTTTATTAAGGTTAAAATTCTGGTTCCAGACAGTACTGCTGGTATTATTATTGGGAAGCATGGTTGTTTTATTGAAAAAATAAAAAAAGAGAGTTGTGCTTTCATTCAAGTTTCTCAAAGACCGAAGGACATTAGACTTTTCGAGCGATGTGTTGTAATAACTGGTAGGTTGATATTAATTGCAGCTACATACTTGGGCTTTTTTGTTCTGAATTTTTCCACTGTTTAAATTCTCATAGTAACATCTTTCTAAAATGAGCGTTCCTTAAACTTGTATCATACATGAAAAGTTGAGTGGATAGCTGAATGCCATAAACAGTTATCTCATGTTGGAATTGGAGAGTGAAGTCTTGCTGTTGGATGGATTGCATTGACTTTAAGACTTTTCCCTTCAACGACTAGTGCACCCATTTTATTGGCTTCAAACTCTGAGGGGGAAGTTTGGACACAATAATTTTACCATGTCTCACCATTTGGTATCTCATAACCGCGAATACTGACGGAATTCTACAAGTCTTAATAAATAATAGGCCGCATGCGACTAAGTTTAAATGGACGTCCTCTGGGCTCTGCAATAATCCAAATGAACTGTCGTCAAGATTTGACCGAATAGTTCTGCAATAATCCTTTATCTCTTTCATTACTTCAAAAACAGGTTGAATTTCTTGATGTAGACAGTCAAAAAGTAGTTGATTGTAAAAGAATTTAGTGTTCATCTAAATTGGTTGAGCAGTACAAGGTCGATGGAACTTATAATCATCTGCTACAACTGCGCTAGAATAACCACCACTCCATTAGTAGTACCAAATTTAAGTTTAAAGAGACATTGACACTCAATATCAAAGTTAACTCAGCAGTGGATTCAGGCAAACCTGATCGCTGTTAATCGTTTTAATCTAGTGTGAATAAGGACCATCAGCTGGTCTTTGAGAACATTTTGGTGCTTGGATTGATGACATCTGTGTCCGATGGCTCAAAGGTGTCAATCTTTCCAATCGAATAACATAGTGTTATGGCGTGGTTCGCGAATAAATACTTTTAAAAAAGTTGTCTTGACTGTAAAAATGCGATCAGTTCTCGTTTAATTTCCAAAATTTACTGTTGATAATTAAGGAAAATCTTGGAACAGTCTCATCTTACTGTAGGGTATCTGAATGTGATGATTGGTCATACTTTTTGAGGTAGAATGCGTAAACGTAGTTGTTTCTTAACACTTGCACATAGTATTTTAAATAGACCATCGGTTTCTTTCCTTTCATTGGTTGATACTTTCATGTGGTGGGAAGTGATGCAGTAACAACATACAATTAATCCACTGCGTATTTTTTCCGATTTTAGGTGAATTAGAAGAGAGAAGAAAGGCGGTGGAAATGATAATGCACAAAATGCTTGAAGATCCTGATTTACCTTGTTTTTCGAATTGTTCTTACTCTCAAATCACAGAGCCGGTTGCTAGCGCGTTCTCAATAGGTTCTCCGTTCGCAATGGTCTACCAGCCTTCAGTAAATTCGAATGGTTTGGATTTAAATTTCGTCAGAAATCCCGCCATTTCTGTTCCAAATTTCTCTGATAATAGTTTACCAAACTTAACGTCAGAATCTGGAGAGTATGCGTCGATCCAAAACCAATTTGGTCAGTTTCATCATAATCAGTCCATACCACTACCATATGCCAATATTGCGTCTGGTACAGGTATGCAGTTATTTTTTCTTTCCCTAATCAACCTGATGAATCTATATTTTAGTATCCAGCTATAAGACCACATTTCATGCCGTAAAGTCTGAATAACCAGTTGTTAGTTGAAAAGTAACACTTCATAGTGTTTTTCCGAGTGATATTCATACACGAAAGTGGAATAAATAATTTCAGTGCACTGAAAATATCGAAGAGGATTGTCATGCTACTCACATACGAATTGTCTTTTAATATATTTATGTCCACTAGATGAAATCTGAAATCGTATGGCTAAAAAGTAACACGCATTTAATTAAGATTCAATTTAATTTCATTAGACAATAATTTCTTTATGATATATGTAATATGCCTTTTCGTAATGTTATGTATATATATGTATATGGTGTTTGAGTAACTAAATTGCACTTTTTGAGTCTTATCCCTCTTTCAGGGAGTTGTGTTACATTAAGGTAGTGTAAAATACCGCTTTGCTACCCCTTAAGTTCACTCGAAGTAGGCACACTTCATACATAATTGTCTGTTCATACTTTATAAGTGGACTAGTCGAATCATACTCATTCTATACAACTGTCTTCATTAGTTATGCTTGTCAAAGGCAATAAATTTGCTTGTACACCACAAACTTAATTGTTATAGTCCCCACTTGTTTGAACAAAACGTATTACTGTATTTGTCTTCTGCTCAACAAAGATTCTAGTGACTTTTTATTTGCCTGCTTTTAAATAACTATAAGTTACATCATATACTTCGTAAAGCCAAGTTAGTTCGAAAATCAATGTTATGCTTTCCTGAAATCCTTAATGCAGATTAGTACGTTATCATACAAATAGGCACTCATTTAAAAATATAATATTCTTGAAGCCTTAACTATGATAGGAAAATTTGTGTAAGTAACAGGTTTAATGTCCTATCTTATGTTACAGTGAATCACCTTCTCACGTCAGCTGACCAACCTTTAACACTGAATAATGCTAATCATATTGTTAGTTTGCCGCGATGTAACACTGGTAGTCATCCGTTCATAATACAACCGAATTTGATTGATCAATCAAAATCCCTCCATTCTGACGTGACTTTAAATCAAACGATGTATCTGGGACATCCTACGGTTCATTGTCAAGATTGCCTGCTACGTACATGTGGTGCGCAAAATTTTATCCCACAATGCCCTATGAAATTGAATGAACAGGTAAATTAGGTATATTTTAATTTTATATCTTTTCAGAATAACTGGAATTCCCAAGTGGGATATATTGATCAGGGCACTGAATTGCTTCTTTAGCTCTGTAATCATTCATTTATTAATTAACTCTTAAAGCTCATCAAAAAATCTTTTGTTTTTGAACTAAATTGCTAAAAGGTTGTATTCTGTGTAGGACTATTTAATGTTGCTAAATCATCGTTCACTTAAAATTCTTCGATTTATTCATTATTATAGTCTGCAATTTTTTTGAACATAGATTTTGTTATTCAGGTCACTTACTGTTTAACTGGATATTTACGCTTCACCAAGTTCTGGTAGATATCAAGAAATGTCTATCCAGTGTAGGTTTCTATTTTTCTACACTCTCTAAGAGTCATATCCTGCATTTTCCCGTGTATTCAGAAAGTTTAAGATTCATTCGTTTCATTTCAGTGTCAGTATTTCACCACACTTTTTAGAACTGTGACTGATTAGCTCAGATTGTGTAAATCCCTTCTCTGGATATTAATTTTTAAGCAACCAGGTAGTATTCTTACCCTTTGTCTAGCAGATGTGGCTCTAACGTATGAAAAAAAATTCCCATACCATGTAATTAAGAACACGTACGTCAGCAAAAAGATCTCTTTAAGTAGTTTCACTTCAAAGCTATACACTTATTCAGGTGTCTATATATGCAATGTGAATAGACAACAACAAAGGTCACAGGTTAATGTCAGTAATGTTTGAAAAATTGATAATGAACAAGAGAGCAAAGGATTGAAAGTGGGTTGCAAAATATAAAAATAGTAAAAAAGATTACATAGAGTTTATTGGATGGGTTTATAAGTGTGCTTCCTACCTTAACTCTAAACCTGCTTGCGACTGCTAATATGCATTTTTGTCGTATCTAAAAGTTGTCTCGATAACAGCCACTAAGTTACCCGACTATTCTCAAGAATTAGTCTAAGTGGTTATGTGTGATGATTGCCATACGACAGGATACGTCTCTGTATCCTGTCGTATGACATTTATGACTGTAAGAGGCGAGTAAGCTTTGTTTTGCTATGCTTCGAAACATGTATAACAGGCTGATTTCTATGATATGCCGTATTCTTAAGAGTTGTTTTTATTTTCCTTCAAATGATCTTCAGATTACCTTGGCGCCGCCACCATTAGCATTTACAAACCAGCCAACTGCAGAAACGAAGGTGAATAACGAATCCAACTTATTTGTGTCAAATAGTCAACTGGGTGATAGAAGTCTGGCAGTGGTTGGAAGTGAAAGAGAACATACTGTACCTTTCATAATACCTGGTGATACTATCTCGTCTCATTCTCGCTATCTGAGCGGAGAATCAGTTGATTCCGCTTTGACAGAAAGTCTGCTCAGTGTCAAGTTGCAGTCATCTACAGAGGACTTTATGACCGATCTCTTTCAGCCTCAACAACAAATCCATCATCAGATATCACACGTTCATACAGTCATGTCCCCTGAATCAGTCTATTCAGTTGCTTCAAGTACTCAAAAATCCAGAGGCTCTTTGTGTAACTCTAATCAAAGTTTATTAATCGATTCTCAGAAATCTGATTATCAGGTTGGTCAGTTTTATAAAGATGTTCATTTTAATTTCGAATCTATTTAAAGACAAACATTTATTAAATAACAAACGGAGAAACAATGGTTATTGGTTAGTGCTTTTGAAAGTTAGTACCTATTCTAGGGACAACCGTCACAGAATGTTGACCCGTTTGTGGCATTAAGATGTCTACTTGTAACCAGTAAATTCATGTCAGTTTTACTTTTATTGGATCCTTCTTTTACAACTACTACGTCACATTCATAGCGAGATCTTGACATCAAATTATTTTGACTTGATAGTACAATTGAAATAATATAATACACTTCAGTTTTCCCCATAGTTGTACAATTTACTTTTTGAATTTCGATAAATCTTTGAAGATTTGTCATTTCATATTGTTCAGTTGTTTGGATTGTATACATTTCATTAATTGCAACGTACATTCGATCAGTGATTCTCTCTGATAAGCATCACTGTTTCAAGTGAAATTAGAATCTTACACACATCTGCTGAGGAAACAAATAACGATGGCTGTGTCTTATACAACAGGTATCATTTGTTTATTGGAATTTACATTCTTCGATGTAAAGAACCACCTGCTTTATCGATCTATGGTAGTATACACTACCTTTCTGTGAATGCGTTTATACTGGTTATAGTCGAATCATAGCGCTATATATTTGTCAGTGGTTGGTGGTGGAATCTATAATACATTTCTTTTTATTCAGGATTTTTTTATGTTAATTAGTTTACCATATTTTGAGTTTACTAACCACTTTTGTTTGGTTTTGTTTATTTTTGAAGACTTTATTTGTACCAAATGATAGTTACAATCGATTTTTGCCAGGTCAAAATAAATCGTCAGAATTCACATACTTACCTAGCGGTTATTATGGGCCTGGTGTTGGCGGTGTTCTTCTAGTTGGTACTGTACCACAACTTCATAATGCTCTTCACTTATTAGAATGGCAAGCGAAACAACAACCAGCAAGCAATATAATACCTGGAACAGGGATTGCAAGTACAGATCAAACAAATGGGACATTCAACTCTTATACTCCAGCATCATCCTTAGAACAAACAATTGCAGCACCATTATCAGTATGTAGGAATGATACAGACCATCTAGCCTACACAACGTCGTTTGGTTCAAATGTATCTTTAAAGCTGGATACCATTCAACCATTATCAATGCCTAAACATCTGACCCAATTGAGCCTACATCATGTACCGGTTAATCAGTATTAAGGGGAAGAAGGCAAATCCACTATTTATATGTATGTATGATGTCACCAGCAGTAATGTCATTATTTTTTATTATTTCTCTGCACATCTTTTTTTCTTTCCTTTCGTAATATTAAGTTTTGTAATTCTCTTTCTCTGCTGCCATAATCTATGTTTTCATTTAGGTACACTGTCGCTTCATTTGTGTCTTGGTACCTTAATAAATTTGTTTAAATTTGATTTTTGGTAAAGTGATTTATTTCCTTATACCTTTGTACTTTTTTTTCTTTGATTTCCTGTTTTATAAATTACCCCCGGTGTTATCTATAAAAGGAGTAGGCCTAATACCTTCCTTACAGTATATATATATATAGTTTTACTATTATAATACCTGTTTTATGTACACAAATAATGCAGCCCGCTGTGTCGACTTCGATAGTAAGTTGCAGAATTATAGAATTGTTCCACGGATTTTTGAAATATGTACTCATTTTTTCCTGAAAACAGTTTGTATTTGTTTAGTGAGAAAGTTATAGATGTGCACAGATATTATTATTATTATTATTATCATTATTATTATTATTAATAATAAACTATCGGAGTGTATTTCAGAAGGAATTGTTTTTCAAACTTTTGCATTTGCTTTATAAATTATTCTATCATAACTTTGTTTTTTTTTTAATTCTTAAAGAAGTATAACTGTCTATTATTATTATTATTATTATTATTATTATTATTATTATTATTATTATTATTTATCGCCTAAATGGTGAAAGCGCTCATTCTTTTTTTCTTTTGTTGCCTTATATTGTACACGATACCTTCTTTTTATGTTTTGTTCAACTAGTTTTTTGCTACCAACAGTTTATATTACACATATAGACGTGTTATATGTCTTTAATTTTGGTTTAGTTAGATCCCGGTTAGTACATTTCAGTACACATCAACATCTAAAGCAAATTTGTTGAACATTTGTTTTACGAAAATCTCTCTTTTCTTCGGTTGTCGTTAAAATATATTTACTGTTGTTTCACCTTCATCCTATTTATCTACTTATTTACTAATGCTGTTTGTCATTTTTTTTAAAAATTGAAATTTATATTCAAAATATTTGCATTTATGTATGTTTAAAAATTGTGCCATGAGAAGATGATTGCTTGAAATAAGAAGGATAAATTGAACTGTTTATTATTATTATTATTATGTATTTTTATTGACTGAATATTTGAAGTATGGATTACTCGTTTTCATATATTACACTGTTACGGAAGAGGATATAAGGTTATTGCAGAACAAATTTGCCACACATTGTTTCATATACTGAAATTGGTGGTAGCGAGGTGGCGGTCGATTACTGTTTGAATATTCTCAGGTAGAGTTGGTCTAGGTACTACGTGTTTAGAGGAACGCTCTGTAATCAGATTCGGTGTCACGCTTGAAACTACTTTAAAGGTGTTTCATTCATCAACTTTCTTTTACACAACTGGAATATTTCTTGTGGTGTTTGCTATACTGTGCGCGAAAACACCTCACCTTACTGTTACATAAACATTTTTTTAATCGAAAACGATTGGTATCGTGGTGTGTAGGTGTTGGTGTTGTCAACTTCCATTTTTTTATTATTATTATTATAATTTTCACCATCAGTTTTATTGTTTTGAATATTCTGTTTTCTTTTCATATTTATTTGTTAAACTTTTAGAAAATAAATAATTTTCTTGTTTCCTTTTTTCCTAAAAGAAACATTTATTTGATAATATCAAACATTTGAGGTTGTATCTATTCACATTTATTTTGGATTGGTAAATTTTATATTACATATATCAATAATAGAAATAAACATTTTATAGATATTCTCTAACAAGTCCTTGTTCTTGTTTTTGCCATTTATGATTGTTGTATATATATTTTTTGCAAGTAACTGTTTGTTTGTCATTCTCATTGTCAATTGTTTAACTTTGGGTTCGATGTACAACATGTTGAATATATATTTTCTCTATCCTCAACTTTAGTTAATAAAAAAATATTGAAACGCATAACACACTTCGAAATGTTGGTTTTATTTAAACTAGTGATTGAATGGTCTAGGCATACTTCTAATATTAAGTGTGAGTGTAGAATATTTCCTAATAATAAGTCACTTATAGTAATTATCCCACTAAAACAGTGTTTACAACATCTACTTTTTTGGCTAAGTAAGAATGAAACAACCGTTTCTATTGAAGGATAGATGTTGATTTTATATTACATAGTTGGAGGCAATCGGCAGGAAGCCTTGGACCTAGGTTTCGTGCTAGTTGGCACTCATCAGCAAGGCGTATCTGCAACCTTGAAGGAACTCATGTCCCTTTTGAGATTCGAACCCACGTCACCCAGTGTTGCAGTCAGAGACGTTACCACTGAGCTATTCGGGCTCGCAATTGACCTCCTGTAGGACTGTAGTGGGTATTTTGATTGGACACTAGTAACTAGTGTGACGTATCTAGTCCTTCTTTGGTGCAGACTGAATTCTATCAGTCAGGTATTTGCAGCACTGGGTGACGCGGGTTCGAATCTCAGAAGGGACATGAGTTCCTTCAAGGTTGCAGATACGCCTTGCTGATGAGTGCCAACTAGCACGAAACCTAGTTCCAAGGCTTCCTGCCGATTGCCTCCAACTATCTAATATCATCAAATCAGTGTGCACCGTGATGGCGAGCTACCTAGAATGGTGGCCACATTGCAAATACCTGACTGATAGAATTCAGTCTGCACCAAAGAAGGACTAGATACCTCACACTAGTTACTAGTGTCCAATCAAGATGTTGATTTTATTTAACTAATTTGTGTGGAGTCGTGGTAATCTTGATGAAATTACACGTGGGTGATATGGTAGAATTTCATCTACACTGATACTCCTGTAGATTCTTCTATCTATCAAAGGATGTGAGCTACTATTTTTGATTGAACACTAGTCAGTAACTGGTGTAATGTGTCTAGCCCTATCTTTAGTACAGACTGAATTCTATCAATCAAGTTTGCGATATGGCCACCATGCTAGGTGGCTCGCCATCATCGTGCACTGGAAATTGTTGGTATTCAATGGTGATGCTGGTCTACGAGCTCGCCTTGTAACCAGAAGGTCCTGGGTTCGAAGCTCGGTGGTTGCGTACAGGTGAAGAGTCCTAAACTAGGATGAAACAGCTGTCCAGTACTCCCTGCAGGTTTTCTAATGGTTGATGATGATGAAATCCTCCATCCAATCGAAATTAATAATTATTGATGTCTACCTATGAAAAAGAAAATCATTTAGGTATTTAAAATGAAAATGTGTAATGAATTCACTAATAATTATCTGGTAGAATGCAGACAAAAATTAGTTGGTCGGTCAAAGTGAAATGTAGATATATTATCATTGACACGGACTTTTTTGATACTATACTACTTAACAAATGATATCCACTCACTTGGATAACACGACAATGAATTTAATCTTTAGTGTAAATCGTGTAACATTTATATTTTCAAGTGTCAAGCACTTATAAATATCTTGAGTTTCTTACAGAAACGATGGTAATACACTTCACTCCAAATTATGCACTTTACAAACACTTGATCTCCGTTTCTTACCATCCCTTTCATGGAGCCAGCCGGAGTTAGAGTTCTTTGATTAGTGTGTCCTCTGAAGTGGTTAGTCCAAACTCACTGCTGATGATGATCTTGGTCCTAAACGAGTTAAACAGCTGTTATGTGCTTCCATAACCAAGACCTAACTAGCCCATACACTACAGGTGAATGTGAATGGGTTCTAAACACCCTCTATGAGGATTAGTACCACTAACATTTGGTAAGATTCTTTTGACATAGCCAAAGGAAGAAGCTATAAAGTGATATTGCGACGGGAGAAGACAAAAGACTTAGTAACGGATGTTTTTATTGACCAAAAACACAATGTTATACATTTTTAACCACATTAAAGGCCGGCTAGGTCAGCGACACCAAACTGCTCTGATTGGTTGTCATTTTGCCGAAGGTTAAACCTTCAGGCAGAACATCCAATGAGATTATTTCTTAACCACAACGTAAACTAAGCCCAGATTTGAGGAATAAACACGTCTACCTCTGCAACCATTATCTTAAAATATCATTTTCGGTTTTGACTGCTTCCTACCAACCTGCATTTATAAACTACTGATAAATTCTGTCAGTAGCACACGCCACAATATGTTTTTGATTAAACTCAAATATTTCAGTGGATACTCATTACTGATTTTGCGTGCTCGACCACATTGTGCAATTAATTGTACGGAAAATCAAGTGATAAGCTTCAGAACTGAAAAATGAAATAAATTGGGTAGTCAAGATCATGAAGAATTAAAATCATGGTCAAGAAGTTAATGGAACAGAATTTGTATGTATTGACTCCTTATCATTGAAATTCTGAATACTGTCACTGATCTTCGTTTATCTATTTCATCTTCCTGCACTCAAGTTTATCTATTGCAGTAAAAACATAAAATGATGAACCTTTTTGGAAATCCTTGAATCTATATTTTAGTCCGTCATTTCTCTTTATTGTTATTTGTTCTGGCAAAACACTTGCTTTCTATGTACGAATCATAGCTACAGAGCTTGTTTGTACATTTTGATAATTGGGGGCGAAATGGTTGAGTACGTTGAACGACTCATCTAATTTGGAAGCCATATTAACCCTGACAAAATCTCAGCATGCACTGAAATTGCAATTTTTTTATTATAGCTTGATTCCACACCGTATTTTTGTACAAGTATGGAATTTTCAGCATGTGATATCGGTAGCCCAAATTTTGCAGGTCGACCATTGATATCAAGTGTGCGTTGGCAGGGGATCGAACCATGTGCATGGTTGGCGAGAGTCCTAACGTTCTGCTTGCCCGTACAACTCGAGATATCCCGATCTTTATTGGTGATTAAACTTACTTTACAGCGGCAGTTGTGAAGTGTGGACAAAAGGAATCTCAGTGGTTAAACATCCAGCAAGTGATACTTCGATTTCCCTTAGATTCTCTAAAGTGTGTTCATGACTTAGGTTTAGTCACGGATTGATGTCAACTAGAGAACAATTGAAAACCAGGAAGTAATGGATGACTGTTTCGTCCTAGTCTGGGACTCTTCGGAAGTACGCAACGACCGGGTTTCGACCTCAGGGCCTTCCGGTTACAAGTCAAGCTCGTAGGTGATTCAGCCACTGAGACCCGACTCAATGGCTTATGAATTCTAACTTCTACCAATTCGTGATTTTAGCGCGACCACCAGCCAATATTATAGGCGGGTATTCATAACTGTGTTAGGTATCACACTGTTAAGACCAGCAATAAGAAACTTCAGGACTGGGTGTCTAAATATTATTTGACTCCAACCGACGTTAGAATAACCTATGGCTTGGCATGCGTAACACGTTCCTACGACCTCGAACCCTTCAGAGTTTCCTGACCCCACCAATTAATTAAATATTTTTATCAATGACTTAATGCTGTTTTCCGACACTGCTCATGTCTTAGTGACACTATATTCCAGCGAAGCTATGGAAGTGACTTAACGTTATTAGTCCGGTTTTTGAAAATGACGTAATGAACTAAACGTATGTCCCTCTCTGTTTCAATTTCCCTTTTCACCTGTAGATTGTCTGTTTGTCAACTTTATATTTTGGAGCTTTTCTTAACCAAATCTTTATCCATTTCGAAACTGTTTACCAGTATCTCTACGTGGTTCTGCAGCATAGCTTGTTTGTAAGCATACTGCAATGTAATGTAAAGTGTTTTATTGAATTCAACTGATTTAACTTGCTCATTCACTTAGCACCGTAGTAAACTATAAATGACAGGTTATTGCATATTCAGGGAATATCTCTCAACCAACACGTTCGTATCTTGAGTTTCATATTCAGAAAGTTTGAACACAGTTACCTCTGGATTCGAAAACATATTATTTGCAGTTCTGGAGTATTTTGCCTAAACTTCGATCCACGGTAGATTTATCTCGTATTCGCATTCATTTCTGTATAATTTCTTTGAGTACTTGTTAGGTGACTCAACTTAAGTCACACTGCTAAATTGGTTCTGTCATCAGCACATCCGTTGTTTGATTGGATATCCAATCATAATGAGGTTTAAAAGCTTGATGAGGCAAATCATCTTTGTCATAGCAGTGTTTATTTATTTGTTGGTGCTTCTTGACTGATGGCTACGGACCTAGTCTGTTGCTCAGTCAGTTTTCAACCATAACATTTTATTCATTGTCTTAATGCGAAGTCTGAAAGCCTGTTATGTCATTGCTGTCTACCACGTTTGACAATATAAGATGTTAATGCATTTCATAATGATGTCCTGCAAAACCTATGACAAATGACAACTACAACATTTATGAGATGTTGGACGAGTTATTAACACCTTGGTTTTAGCTTAATTAATTGATACCGTTCACTTATTTGCAACTAGTAACATTGCCATGTACGTAATTCTCATGTTCAACAGTTTCTACCTGGGTGTAATAATGATAATCTATAGTTAGATGAAGTCATTCACACATGCTGATTTCAGTGGTGTAATAATATCCTACGCGTAGCACACCATAATGCTTCATAGTATTCACTGTGTCGTAACTAAAAATTTTTGTTCAGTATTTTGTATGGTACTTTGGAATGAATTAAAGTTGCCTAACCGAATAGTTCGGTGGTCCAAAGGTAGAATGCTTGCCAGTCACGCGCCACGTCTTGGTTCGACTCCCGGTCGATTCACTCCTAGACCTCACCCAGTTTACTAACCGGTAATGAAGCTAGAAAAGAAGGAAGGTTGACTGTGAACCCCACCCTGTTATAAAGGAAATGTAGTTTGTAGAGTTTCTGACTGTATATTAGTACGGGCGCACTGTGAATAAAACACAGTCATATCCTTTCTCAACCCCTTTGTGTGAATACGTTTGAATAATTCGGTGTTTATGATAA